TGCACTGTTACAATTTTAAAGGGCCCAATTCTAGACATGTCCACGTTTAATAAAACTCCCACTATTAAAATAAGAAAACAACCCAAACCTAACTGACAGAATCCACCCATCACTCAAACAACAACCCCAAAGATCTTAAACACAGAAAAATTTGGCTTATTAATCTATCGATATGTTATGGAGATTAGAACTTCAGGGCCACAAAGGTTTTGCCCTACTCTTGGTTTAATTAATACTTACATAGTCTGAAATCAGATTTAAAATCACTCCCTCTATTCATTTTCCCCACATCATATCTCAGTGGTTGGCCTCAGATTCCACAGTGTCCTGAGAGTCCGAGGTCAACTGATATAATTTCACCTGCTAAATACACAGAAAATCTTGTTAAAAGCCACTCACTTTGCACACAGTAATGTTCCCCTTTAGGCACTTTAACATAACTAGATTTAGCATAACATATCCCTCTACAGCATAGCGTTGCCCTGAGGCAACAAATCACATTTTCATGCCTTACACTGGCCCTTCAAAAAAAACCAAACCTTTTTTTTTCAAATAATGCTACCAGACACATCTCTTTCCAATAAAATGGTGAGTTGAAGGTGGTGTGACTTTCATTTTGGTGGGGGAGGACCCCTTTCTGCAAGCTGCACTGCATGAGGGACATCTCCATTAGGAGGCAAGATAAAGATCACTATTTTACATGTTTATAGTGAAATAAATGTATATTAAAAAATACTTGTATGTGCATGAATATGTTAAGAAGCATATTTGATTGTTTGTTCTACTTTTGTAAATTTAGTTATACAGTAAAACTGTTAATTTTCATTCGTTGCCTCAAGGCAACACTGCACAGTTAGCCCAAAATTTTTCAGGCATTATAATGCATTTGCATATGAGTGTAGAGATGTGTTTGTCTGCATTTATATGATCATAGTCAATGTTTTTTACTTTACAATCTACTCATAATTACAGGACATGGATGTAAATACCTTTTATGGAAGGAAACCAAGGGAATGTGCACTTTCTGTCCTCAGAAAGTGAGGACGGTGAGCTTTCAGGGAGTGATATTGAAGTAGAGTAGTGGATCCCTGAATGAGGTTTGGGGGATACTTAGGAGCTCAGGGGTCAGTTGGTAAAGTAACTGT